CGATAGTATTAGATAGTTAAGATTTAAGTTATTTATAAGGTTTATTGTGAAAGGTGGGAAGATGTAGAACTTGTGATTCCATCTACCTGCCTTGGGCCTCCACTCGCAGCAACCTCCTCGTGGTGAGGCCTGGGAATCGGTATTATCATCGGTAAAATACTGTAAACTGATGACAATATCGAGCTAATGGCTGCGAACTTTGAATCTATCTCATAAAACCACGTTCTATATTATATCGAACTAGGATTATTTTAGAAATCGATATGAGATTCAAAGTGTCAAAATGTCGAGTACTTTGAATGTTTTAGAAAATTATTCGAGATAAACATGTATGGAACTACTGAAAATTACTTTAGATTCCTTTTTCTTATTCTGTAAATTCTTTGATTAGAATATTTGATATTTGGAATAGGAGTGAAGATAGTGACGGGATTAACGAATAACGGTTATGTATGATTTGACTGTTTTTTTATTGAAAATATCGTACGAAAATATACAATTTACAACAGTATTTCTATAAATTTAACAACAATTGCCTTAAGTACTACAGTAGGCCCTCGACTTTCGCACATAATTGGTTCATGAAAGTGTGTGCGAATGTTGAATGTTCGAAAGTAGAGGGACGTAAAAAAATATGCACCAAAAACTGTGTTTTAAAGTATTTATCTATCAATATGTATACATAATGAAGTTAAAGAGGCGTGTTAAGTGCTTTCGGGTGTTTCCTTTATAAAGTTGTCAAGAGTTAGTTGAATACCACCCATTTTTTTCTTTTCTTGATAAAGATTTCTATAACATGCTGTGTCTTTCTCAATTGCCCTACGTACTTGAGATATATGTTCTTCATTGGGATCACATTCTTCCATGATAGTAAAAAATTTGTCAAGATGCGTGAAGGCTTCATTCATATTTTTAATTGTCAAAGTCTTGACGTTTTTATCAGCTTCCTCTTCCTCACTTTCATTGTGTATTTCACTGTTACTCAATTGTTGCTCAATTAAGTATTCATTTGACAGCGGTGCTGAGTGAGATTCAATCAACTCATTAACATCTTCTTTGTTGACGTCCAAGTTTAGTTCATTCATTAAGGTAACTATTTCATCTGTGAGAGTTTCCGGTGTTTCTTCAAAATTTATAAAATTGCTCATCATTTCTGGGCATAATTGTTTCCAGGAACCTTTCATTGTCGACTCTTTTATTTCAGCCCACGAGTCTCCAATATTATTTATTGCGTTCCATATATTATAATTTTTCCAAAAATCTGTTAATGTTGGCCCATCTTGCCTGTCGGTTGCCTTGATGGCTTTAGTCATTATTGTCCTCATATAATATCGTTTAGACGTAGCTATCACTGTTTGGTCCATGGGCTGTATGAGGCAGGTAGTATTGGGAGGAAGAAACACAACATTGATTTCCGGGTATAAATTCTGCAGAGATTTTGTGTGTCCTGGAGCATTGTCTAAGATTAATAATGCTTTAAATTGTAAATTATTATTTTTACAATATTGTTTAACTGTCAGCACGAAATGCTGAGTGAACCAATCTTTAAATATTAACGCAGTAATCCAGGCATTTTTATTTGATTTCCAAATGACCGGAAGCAATTCTTTATTTTTCCCTTTCAATGCTCTGGGATTTTCTGCTTGGTAAACTAACAATGGCTTCAATTTTAAATCACCAGCTAAGTTTCCACCAAGAAGTAATGTCAATCGGTTTTTGGAAGGCTTATGTCCAGGAGCAACTGATTCTCCCTTCGATAAAAATGTACGATTAGGCATTTTTTTCCAAAACAATTGTTGTAAATGTACTGTTTTATTTAAAGTGTTTTGTAAACCATTGTGTCGTATTAAACGAACTAGTCTAAGTACTCAAAGAGTAGAAACCTTACACGCTTTATTGACTATTCTTTGAACACAGAGGATTAAACAGTTGAATCTTTAAAAATGTGCGAAATAGCGAATTGTGTGAAAGTAGAATGTGCGAAAGTCGAGGGCCGCCTGTACTTACATACATGATTTTACAATATATTTATAATAATATTTAGATAGATTCCATAAAAGTGCCCTAAGATAGTTATTTTACTTAAATCCTACTTATCTATATGCTTTTGCAATATGCTTGTAATGATATTGATATAAATTTAGAAAAACTAGGCTTAGATATTACTCAGGCTTATAAAATGTTGTAACTTATATGCCGCTAATAATTTCCACCCCTGTAACTATCACGTTTCAAAACTCTTCCGCGTGCTCCGGGGGTTCTATGACCCAACTTCCTCACAGACACGAGGTCCGTGGCACCTCCGCTGGGGGTTCTATGGCCCCACGGTCTCACCACACGGGGTCCCTGGCGTCACCAGTGGGGGTTCTGTGACCCCACGGTCTCACCACACGGGGTTTCTGGCGCCACCTAGGGGGGTTCTGTGACCCCACGGTCTCGTCACACGGGACCTCTGGCGCCACCTACGGGGGTTCTGTGACCCCTCACTGGGTCCCTGTTGCCTCCGCTGGGGGTTCTGTGACCCCACGGTCTCACCACACGGGGCTCTGACTTCTCCACTGGGGGTTCTGCGACCCCACGATCTCACCACACGGGGTCTCTGGCAGCGAAAAATAGTTGGCGCCGAATATTAGTGTTTCTTAACAACTTATATCTTAAATAATTGCTCCCAATTTGCTCCCTCGGAATCTAAACTTGTTCCCATCGTACCGTTTATATTTAATAAGATATTCGCAAATGAAGAAGAAAAAATTTGTTGTATACCTTTGCAGGTATCAGGCGTATGTATACATATACACATGTACCCATTACTTTGTTACC